GATCATGACCTGAGCCAAAGTCAGATGCTCAACCGACTGAGCAAACCAGAGACACTATTTTTCTATTGTTTTTCTTGTCTCTCTCTTTCTAAATTGTTCTTAACAATCAATAAAAGATGATTGGTAAACAAACAAAAATAATCCAATTTGTCTTTAACTCTGTACAGAAGAGAGGAAAACAAAGACCGAAGAGAAGATTAAAAAGGAAGTGAAAGGTGGGAAACAAGAGAAAGTGAAGCAAACAGCCGCAAAAGTCAAAGAAGTACAGAGACCATCACCTAAGCCCAAGGAGAAGGAGGGAAAAGAGACCGCAGCTGTGTCCAAGCATGAACAGAAAGGTAAACATTCAGAGGAGGTGGCCAGAGGTTCTAAGAGAATTTTGGGCAAGAAGCAGATACAATAAAATTAAAAACTCAAAAAGACTAAGATCAGACTTCAAATAGGAGTAAAAAGATGTCTATCAGTTAATATTACCTGAAAGGCGATGCAATAATTGGGAATTAAAACGTATTTATAGGAAGACTAAAATATGTTCCATATCTAAAGATGCAATGTGAGGTATTTGTAAAAGAGGATTTGAGTTAGTATCTCAAGTTATTCAAATCGTGAGGAAAAATTTTAAATTCTTGAGACACGAGGTTTCTATTAAGAGGTGGAAAAACAATTTTGTGTGTCCTACTCTTTGGAGACAGCAGTCCAGGAAAAATGACAATTTTACAGGAGTTTTTTTTAAGCAATATATGTTCAGATCTTGGAGAATAAGTATAAAAACTCTCCATACATTCCTGTTGCCTCTGCAAGAGCATATAATTTGGAATATATATTGAATTATTAAATTCAGTTAATTTAATAGGCAGAAAGTTATGGGAAAGAGAACTCTCAAGCTTCTTTGCCAGCTTCCACTGACTAAATTTAGGACTGTAGAAATCTCTGTATCTGACACTGTGCTGCTCTTCATAAGAGTGATGTCAAACTTACAGCCCTACTTCACGGAAATAGAGCATTTAAATGGAGATGGAATATAAGCCTGAAACTTTTTGTGGACACATGCTATGAAAATAAAAGGGTGGAGTTTCAAGAGGGCAGCTGAGGGCTCGTCCCTCATCTCTGCCCTTTGTTGAATCTCTTCTACCCGAGTCCATTCCTGGCGCTATGCTGCTATAGAGTCCTAAGACTGCCCATACAGAATGTGGGATTACTCAGTTGGGACTATTCCTATAAATGTTTTTTAGGGGTGTTGCAAAATAATACTTTCCTTTACCTTGGTAGTTTTGAATGATTGTATTTGAGGACTAAAATTAAGGAATGTTTTCTATGAGATTTTCATTTAAAAATTTGAAAACTTTATTACTGAGTAAGCTAGTTGGACACTGAAACTGAAAAATTTTCACCATTATAAAACATAAGCTGAAATTTGCAATCCACACTTTTCTTTTTGATTCCACATATAAGTGAGATCATGTGGTATTTGTCTTTGTAATCTGCCCTTGAATTTTGCCTTTGAATCCCTTTTTTCCTTGAATTCACAATATAAATTTATCTGGCAAAAGATATATGTTTTTTGAAAATATATTTTAAAAAAGAAAGAAAAAACCTCTGTCTCTTTGTTTTTGTGTGTGTGATCTGCAAATTTTGAAATAAATGAAAATTACCTAAATTTAAAATTTTGTAGATCACTAACAAAAAGAGTGGGATTAAAACTTTGGATCACTAAGATCTTTCTTCAATTTAAAAAATGATTATATTGTCTTGAAAAAATTTTTAAAAATTGGTTATTACCTCTCTTAAAACTTTATATTTTTTCTGAAATCTTTGGGGCAGAAAAAATTATAGTAAGTAAAGATAAAATATTTTGAATGCAACATTTTGCTGTGATAGAAAATAAGAAAATTAATCTTCTGACTCACCGATCTATTTTAAAGTGATCATCAAGGTCCTAAAATACTTTACATTTTAGATTGCCCCTTAAAAATGAAAATAATCACATGAAATCAGCTGAAACATACCAAGTATATTTTTATTTTTGTCCATAAACACAGTATGTAAAAATTCATGCCAGTTATATATAGGAGTATTAAAATATTTATCTAGCAACTTGGAACATGAATAAACTTTTTGATGTCCATTTTTAGTATCCTTGGTTTTTCTTGGGGGGGGTGTGGCATATTTTATTGATGCTCTAGACACATCACTAGAGCATTTTAAAATAAGGTTTATTTTCCAGGTCACATATATTGTATTTTATTCTTATCAGTAATCAGAATTACTAAAGATAACATTCTAATACCATTTTCATTTTCAATCTACTGTTTTCATTTCCACGTAAAGAGCTATTTATCTATTAAAAGGACATTCGAATATCACTTAGAGTCAGAAACAAAAGCACAAATGTGATTTTATCAGCTAAGTAAATGCATTTGCTAAAGTAAGACTCCCCATTAAGACAGCTAGCATCAATTAAATAATTGTATCATTAAGTAAATAATCAAAACTATACTTCTGATAGCTGGCCAGACACATAAATACATTATTTGTTTTAATTAAGCAAAGATTTAAGAACATTTATTCATAAAAAACTTATCACATTATGGTTTCAACTGAACACGATACACAAAGATGCAGTGTTTTTTAAATAATCTATTTGTGAGGTGGCCTTCATTTTGAGACTCTTGTATTGATGATTTAGTGGGGATCCCTTCTGTGGGGAAGGGATTATTTATTTGCTTAGTGTAAGTTAGTCTTAATGAATTCGAGTTCTTTTCAAATAGATTTCTAAATAGTTTGTTGTTTTTTTGTTTTTGTTTTTGTTTTTTGTAAATCAAAGGCCTACAAGTCTTTCACTGGAAACAGATTTTTACATGGAGCAGACACATTTATTGGCAGTTTTTAAATTATATAGTAAACATGCAAATACATTCACATGAAGTTACTTTTAATTTTATATATTTCCACTTAAAGCACTGGGAATAAGATGCATAGGTATGTACCAGCCTACCATACACTTCTACACACCCTTATGTACCGCATAATCTAGTTTCTATGGACCAATCTTAATCTGTTTAAAAAGGGTAAGAAGGGCTGGCATGATCAGTCTTCGCTTTTATGTCTGTGGCAGAAGTGTGGAGAGGGAAAAAAAAAAAAAAATCAAACCTCCTGACTGCTATTCTCATTCTTCCTTTTCATTATCCTTTTCATCCTCCTCCTTCATTTTCTTCTTTTTAACAACTATCTACATATTTGTGGCAGGCAGAGAGAGTATAGCTAATGGGAATCAACCATAGAGTACCAGACCACACATGCCCCATGCTCATAAGAGATTTTTTAAAATTTCCTTTCTGTTGACATTCTGCACCCAGAATGCATTTTCTCTCTGCTGCCACTCCATGGGCAACATGACAAGGTAGCAGCTGAATAACATCCATCACTGCTCCTTGAGGAGGGGAGAAATGGCCAGCATGTGTGATTCTTAGAAGGTGTTCATCTGGGAGAAAAAAATATTAAGAAATGGTGACCACATATGAAATTCCATGAATTATTATCACAAAACTGTGAAAGCTATAATAATAGAACTGTTCATATTTTCTTTAGGAAAATTTTCCTAGTCTAATATTTCAGTTGCATTTAAGGAAGCATTTCTATAAAATGAAGCTTCCATATTAGGAAGACTTAGTTTTGCTTTATCCTTAGACAGGTGAAACAGACACCCTTGAGACTGCCCAACATATACGTGCCTAGAATTCTGGCACATTGTTAAGGTCAACACTCAGGACGGACAGAAATGGGCATCCTAATTTAAAATATTTAAAAATTCTTGATTTAAAATATTGTAAAAATACCCTCTCATCTTCCTACTTGTGCCATTAGACTGCAACATCACAACATCACTCAAGTTAAACAGAAACCTGTTAAGTATTATAACTCAAACAATTTTCTAGATTAAGAAAATAGACATGTTTTGAATTAGTAAAGGATTTTCTTTCTTAAATTGGAAACACATAGGATGATTGGTGCATTAATTAAATGAAAGACGACTCTTAGAGCCGGAAAATACTGGTATAATACATGTAAGCATTTTACTTTGGTAATAATTTAAAATATAGGTTAAATAGTTTCATGTCACTGTCAGCATTCAGTTAAAACAAAAAAACAAACTCTGAAGCATGAAGATTTTAGTTAATTCAATATACTATTTCACATGTTATGTGTATAAATATGCCATCACCACTTGCGGCAGAGAGCATCATTTCATTTTGGGGGATTGTCCAAGCCCTTCAAATTTTAAGTAGTCCCTGCATTCTAAACTTTTCACATGAATATACTCTCTGTTGCTGTTGCTGAAGACTATAGTGCCAGTAGGATTCAATGTAAATGAAAAATAAAAAATGGGGAGATTTTATATCAGTGATTCTGGAAAATGATCTAATTAAATCTTCTGAGGAGTTTGTTAAAAATGCATATCCTAGTGTTTAGACCCATGGAATTATAACACATTCCCCATCTTTTTGATCTTTAAATTGCCCTTTGAGAACAACTTCTGATTATAGGAAGGAGAAATCTAAAAAGAATATAGTCACTTAAGGTACTGAAACAAAAGAGAAAGCTTGAAAATTTCAGGAAGTCCACCCTTCCCCACCTCAAATTTATCATTTAAGGGAAGTGTGTGTTTTTTCGTTTTGCTATATCTGAGAGCCCAATTGCCCATTCTAGAATTTGCTCAGGAAAATAGTTATGTCCAGAAAAGAGAAAATACTTTCTACATGAATCTTAATTCTCTGCTGTACCATAGGATTCCCGTGTCCTGTTATTAATGTATACAGGAACAAACAGGTTCCTGGACTTGACCTGGGAACTAGCCTCCTTCCAACATCTACCTTACCTATGGGAAATGTGCTGTAATTCAAGAGTCAACATACAGGCAAATTTTTGAAACTTTATGAGTTTTGGCTTACTCATATTTAGGTACTAATGAAAAGGATTATATTTTACATTTACTTCAATAACCACATTTCTTTTTTCAAAGACCTGGCAGAGTTTCATAATAAAATGGATTAGCCTAAAAATACTGTTAATACTTTTAAAGGAATAAGGTTTACAAAAATCACTATATGTATATTTATTATAAAGTAACAAGTTTTATTATTTCACATGTTTAATGTACATAATTTCAAGGACTTAAGGGTGTGTCATGTTGTGTAAATTGAATAAACTCTCTTGGTCCTGAAGCTGCCTTTGGATTTGTTAGATCAATAAAATGCCTGTTTAGAAACATTAAAATGTAAATCAATCATCTTCAACAAGGTTAATTTCACAATATGTAGTTTTAAAGAAGATATGGTAAAACTTCTGGAATAATTCACCAACTAAAATTTGGGTTGGAATGACCTCAGCAGAATCTAAAGTTAT